AGAGGCTAGGGTAGAGACAGAGGAAGAACTGGGAAAGTGCCAAGAGACTGAAATTAGTAGTCAACTGCTGGATCCATTTGGGATTGTTACATCACAGAGCAACATAACAGATGAAACGGACCCCTTAAAGCAAGATGTATGCACTATTTCAAGTTCTGTGTTAGAGCAACAACCAATAGAAGATGAAGTAAAGGAAACTGGAGTGACACAGAATCTACCACCAGCCCCTGTGCATGTTCCTGACGTATTACCACAGCTGTCTGATGTGGAACCACCAGAAGCAGTGGCTGTAGAGTCAGTACAGGTGTCAGAGAAAGTAGGTAATGCAGAAACTGAGGACACTTTGGTTGCTGCTGCAGCAGCTACTGCTGTGGCCACTGCAGTGGCAGCTGGGGCTATTGTGGCTCATGAGAAACCAGCTGAGAAGACCAACATATCAGAAAAGAATGTTGAGGCAAAGAAACCAACCCCTTCAAAGGACAAGAAGGAACCAACTGCTGTCAAAGCAAAACTGACAAAAACACCCAGCAGTCCCAAACCTGCAACTCCTACTACTGGTGTAGTTAGAGCATTGCAAAAATCTAAACTGACTTCACCAACGAAGCCCCCATCCCCAAGTTTTCACTCCTCAACACCGAAGAAGTCTGTAACTTCTGCTCCTCCTGCAAGCAGAACCACAAAGTTGCCAGCTGCTCCAAACAAACCTAAGCCAGGTACCACGTCACCAACAAAACCCCTGTCTTGTGCTGCTAAATCGAGCACGGCCCCACATGCACGACCTGGAACCACTACTACAAAGTCTCTTATTCTAAGTAATGGTGATGTAGCTAAGGCTGCGGTTACAAAGAAAACCGCAGCTCCTACGTCAGCGAGGCCACAAAGCAGGCCTTCAACAGCCCCAGCTACTGCTAAAGCTGGAACAATAAAACAGAGTGGTGCAGTCACAAGTAGGACCACCCTTTTGTCAGCCGTGCCCCCGCGAACAAAACCCGGAGCTGTGGACGGTGCTGCAAGCAAGTCTCGGCCAGCAGGGACATTGGCGCCTACGACGGCTAGGAATAAAGTGGGCTCGACCTGTGACCCAAAGTCCGTCACAAACAAGAAGGAAACTGCAAATAAGCAAATATCATCTCACACTATCACAAATAAATCTACAACAGTTACAACAACTCGCAGTGCATTGTCGGCTGCCACTAGGAGAGTTACGGGTGTCACAAAGACCGCTGTCACGTCGTCTGTGAGTAAAGTAGGACCGAAGAAGACTACCTCTGCCAGGACGATCACTGGGACTCGTGCCCCAACTACAGCGTCAACCAAAACAACAAAGACTGAAGTCATCGCAACCTCATTGGCCACAGAGAACAACGAAATATTAAAAGTGCAACAAGTGGACTAAGACATTTCTGAAATATTTGTGATTTCCAGAATTTTTTAAATGGTGTCTTTTAAGACTGGTCATGTGGAATAATTTATTTTCATTCTGTTTCTCTGGAAGTGTGAGTACATATTTCCTGCAAGTGCTGCTAGGAGGAAGTTTTATTGTTAGGAAGAATATTTTGAGGGGCTTAATTCAGTTTCCTGGGCAAGGCTCATGTGTTACGCATTTCTTCTGATCTCTGTTTTTAAATTTCATGATGTTATCTGTGAGGTGCTATTTAATGTTTTAATTTGTTAAAGATATGTATTACAGTAAATAGTGCAGTGTGTATTGCATAGCATCTTGTAACTAATTGATAAAATCCATTACGACCAGAGGAGACTCAAGACACCACTTAAAAAGTATACCAACTATAGTCATGCAAATTTATGAGAAATTTTATGAGCCCAGGTACGATGTAACATATTTTGATTCCATAACAATATTATTAATAATAAGATACCAACATATTCGATACATACATAGAATACTATGCACAGCTGAATTCAAATGATCCTGCAAGTATGTTTCAGAGAAAAGGTGCATTAATCGTGGTGTTGTGATGTTTTTGTATGTGTTTCAGTTTGAAGTTTTACTATAAAGATCATGAGAAATAAGGCAGCACTTGGCAGGTACAATTTGTGTATCTATATAGGGTAAGAGGGGGAACTGTGTACCTTAGAGTTCATTAACAATAAGTGCCAGGTGCCTTGCAATTTGGAAAGCAAATAACTTGGTCTTGTGACTTGCTTTGCAATTGAAACAGTATCATCATAGCTGTTTGCTTTACGATCGTAGTAATTACAGCACTTTTATATGTCAATTTCCTTTCACTTGGAGAAGATACAATTATATAATAAAGTTTTTATGTCGGCATATAAGTCTTATTTTCTTTTTTCAAACTTCTGTTGGAGGGCATCTTAATATATTCCAGATTGTAAGGTGAGTATACATGTGACCAGGCTTCAACAAATGTTAAGAACAATGTCTAAAATTGGAAACCAGGGTGAAGAGAAGGGAATGGATTGCAACTGTACTGTCTGTAGCTAGCCTGTATAAAATACATATATTTTTACAGAACTTTTTACTGTGTTGGATGTCCAGTTCTATGTAAGATGTGTGGTTTTTTTGGTAACTAGGATGGTCTGGGTTTTAGCTTAATGTAGATTCATCACCAGATGCCTGTTGAGTGTACTTGATGTCCAAACCCAGAATAACAGCCAGTCCTGTTAACAGTAAGATAATTCACTCACTCCATGGAACAGAGTTCTAGAGAAGTTTATGATAGTACAATGAGATTGTCAGGATTCTTTGAATTTAGTCTGCTTTTAACTACTACTCAAGTAATTGAACAGTATGATGCATGGTTAAATCCAACAGGCTGATTTGCATTGACTATAATTTCCCTCATTGCATCATTGTTTAGGCAAAATATTTCAGGTTATGGCAAGTATGAAGATTGCTGTCTTCAGGGATGTTGCAGTGTGCAGTGTGTTAGAAGTTTGCTGCTGATTGGACTCATGCCCTGGTGATGAGGTAACATGCCTGTGAACCACTGGTAAGCTTAATACCAGATTACAGCATTATTTTTGTCAGCCAGTGCTGGCTGTTGAAGCAAATGGAATATTTTGGTTTCTCACAGCAAGAAGTATGAAGATGTGTTTTGTCTGCGATGTTGCACTTTGTACTGATTCAGATTAATGTGATGGTGGTGAGGCAGTAAGCATCTGAAATATTACACTTACGATAGTATATTGTGCTGCATCGTAGGGACAAGTCATCTTCATCAATTGCAGTGTTTTTCAGTTGTACCCTGGTATTTTGGGTTGATATATTTGACTTCTATGTTTCTGAAATTGCGGGAAAGCCATTGTGATCTTTGCCCTGTTACCCTGTGATGCTGCCACTTTACTATTGAAACCTAAGTCTTGGGGTTGTCTCATAACTCTCTGTTTCTCAGCAGTATGGATTGATACAGTGGTATTTTGGATTGTTGTAATTTTTGATTTACCATACATCATCCTTATTGAGAAATAAAGAGAGTATAGAATGGGGGAGGGCAGTAGGCCCATGGCGTACGAAACCCATTTTGGGGGTAAAATATTTTTATTTTTTCATAAATATAAAAATTGTTTAACAGATTTTTGTGAAACGGTGTGAATATTAGCTTATGGCAAAGAAGGAGACCTGCGTCATGTGTTAGTTACTTTTCGACTTACTGTCATCAACAACTTGGAAGCTGTGTGAACTTGTAGCGTGGTAGACACCAGTGCTGTTAATTCTAACGTGAGGGTTTGAAATTTTGTAGAATGATAGAAATTTCAAAAGTATGACAATTACCCCAGGAATAAATAAATATTTAATGATTTTTAGCATCACATAATAAAATCACAAATATAAAAATATAATATACGAATATAAAACAAAATTAAATTGAAATTATCTCGCGACACCCATGGTCCATTTCGCTCACCCCACTTTGGAGACCGCTGGTTTAGGGAACGGAATGAGACGCACGTTTTGCGTGGCGCAGACTGGCTCGTGAGCGGTCACTTCGTTTCAGTTGTTGACAAGAGATGTCGCAAGCAGTCGTCAGCGAAGCTACATCATCGACTAAACTAATCACAATGCAGCTGGAACATTTTAAAACATAACCATTACGTTAAGATGGTTAAGATGGCGTGATCATATACGTCGTGATACTCGTGCCAATTGGCAGGCGATGTGCGTTGCTTGGTACTTGAATGTAATTAATCCTAGTACGAAACTAAACAGTTTTTTGTTGAATAACTGAGTTTCTTAATTAGTGTGATTAAATGTATCGATTTGCTAAAGACAATATAATTACAATGACAGAGGTATGGGATATAATTAAGCGAGATAGCAATGTATATTATTTGAACCCTTCGAGAGAAAATCACATGTATTGCGTTTACTGAGGGATTCTGTAGTGTTATGATTGTTTAATTTCATGTTAACTGTCAGTAAGTATTGCCACATTGTAATTTGGAGTGTAACCTACATGTTGCTGGAATACCTTCAACTTTAGGATAAACGTTATGTGAAAATTATTATATACGCACTCATTTTTACCCCGAAGATGGATTACGTTCCTCTGAGACATTGATTACGTACGATATCAGGGTTTGAAAATTAATCAGGGTATGAGAGTAGTTTGTTGGTTGGGTGGAGTACTTTAGAAAAATGAAGAGTAATTAACCCTCTTACCGCCTGGGCTAGTGTCACATCGCCATTGTGCTTGTGAATCGCTCATAGGGCGCAGCACAATACTCAATGGCTCAAAGTTTCTCATGAATAGAATAGGAGACAAGCAGGTGGGTTTATCTGTGGTCGCCAGCGCCGCGTCTCTCAGTGTGTGACGTGCAGTCAGTGGATGTTGTAGTGTGGTGGCAGTGATGTATTCATGTTGCAACACGTGTTCTGCAGTGATAACATGACAATGACCCCCCAACGTAGAAAGTAATTGAAGTATGTGAACACGGACGCCACAAGACCCATTGTTTTGAAACACGCGTTGAAGGACACAGAGAATAGATAGTGAACTTTGTATAAAAACAGGGACACGAATGATTGTATCACCTGTTGGAGAAGATAGTGAAATGTGAACTTTCTGATGAACACTAAAACAAGTGCCATTGGATTGTACACCTGTTGAAGAACATCGCCTCATCTAGCCCTTGACCTCATGTCTGGTGAGTGGTGTTCAAATTACATTCATAAGGTTATGCCGAGAACTAAGCTGACAAGGAATGAACTCACGTGAATTTCACTGAGATGTTAAATACAGAATACATAAGTTGCGAGAGCAATACGTAGACAGGAGGATACTATTTACATTGCTTGTACAAAGAATCGTTGTGTATGATTAAAACTCGAACTCCATATTCGGGGATGCCCAGTGCGAAACTTGAAAACTAGGCGAGCTGTCATATTAGGTTTTTCGTCACTCTGCTGTAGTATCAGGCAAATGGATCATGTTAGCTCAAGCTATAACCTATGTGACTTCTTTTCTGAAAGTATCCGATTAGAATCCCGACCGGGCTACCGTGTTCTCAGTGAGTGATTCATGATTTTAAATGATTACCAAGATACCATCATACAGACTGCGACCGTTTCCTCTCGCATCCTTTCCAGTTCATTCTTCTCGAAAAATCATTGGAGCCAGTACACACCGGATCGGTGTGAGAAGTACATGGATGTTCCTGATTCCTCCCTTTCCAGGGCTGAATATATAGAAGCATCCTGGAGTCCCATTTGACTACGCTTATCCACAGATGAAATAGTCCTATTGATGTTGCTGCAAAATAATGCAGAGTCGTGCTGTTTTCTGCCGGTCTCTCTCTGGTCTTCTCTTACCACCGTCCCCACCTCCATAGCGACCCAAACGGTAATCGTTACTCCTTAATCATAGTTATCGGCTTTCCTCTTTGTTCGTTGACGCTTTCATTCCGATACCAGAGAGTCAAGGTATGTCAGTGTGTATTAACCATTTAAAACCGAAGCTCGTCGAAAGAATTTTTTATTACGACATGATTTTGCTGCTTATGTTATCCCATTGAACCGACGCTCGTCTAAGTAATGTTTAAGAATTAAGTTCGTACGGCAAAAATCAACTTGTTAAAACTGTTTTAGGAATAATCCCTATTTTACACTGCGAACAGTACGAAACTAATAAATATAAAACGCAACATTACCGATTCTTGAAGCAGATGGTACATGTAATTACCTCTGGGCTTTACACGGATAATTTATGCCTGGTCGCAAATTATAGGTTTTACCATTACATTAACGTTTACTTAGACGTCTGTGAAAACAAACAGCTTCAGAATTAACTAAATTCTTTATTGATTTTCGCCTACTGTTTCATCAACCCATGAAGCAGGGTTGAGTACCGCTGACAGAAATGCGATGACCTTTCCTATTCCTTACAGCGTCGTTAAAGAGTGACATCTGGCAGTTAATTTTACGTACATTTATCCTGCCTCTAAGGTTTCTTTAATAATTAACTGGTATCGCATAGAAGCGAGACTTGTACTCTGGCTTGTCTGTCATCTGCGGTCTTGTAGGCTGTGACATCGTTGAACTACATTAGCACCGAAGATGGAGGTGGTGTGTTCCTTCCGTAATGTTGGTAACCATTTACAAGACTACATGGCGTCACAACCTAGAGCACCATGATTTACATCTTCGGCGCCCTGAGAAACTTAAATCTTTACTTGTTTGTATGTTTTATTTTTGAAACTGCTGAAATTGTTTCAGTTAAATTTGGCATTGGATATAAACACTTAAAGATTGGTTCGAATTTTATTTTAGTCCATATCTGCCCAATATTAACAGACAACAAATAATAAAAGGCTGGTCTTAACAAAAAATTATAGACAGCAATTGCATATAGTAAGGTTTATAATATTTATTTGAAGAATTTATAGAAATAGTATATATTTGACAGTATTAGGTTTTCAAGGACTACTCCATGACGCTAATTATTTTGTAACACTCTGCAGTGCGCATTTCCTATTCTTTAGCTTTGTCAACATCTCTTCGACTTCTGTGCCTGGAAGCAGTGTGTAACCTTGGATATTCCGTTCATGAAAAGATACTTTTAAAAGTGTGTTTAACTTTCTATGAATTCAGCACACCTGTAAAAATGAGAGGAAAGATTTTAGTGTTTTTTTAAAAAAAAATTATTTCACTGTTTAGGTATGTAGGCAGGAGACGAAGATTGAATTTTTGAACTGAACTGTTCCAAACATTTTCCAAAGTTAATCTGCTCATAATTTCGTCATGAATTATCATTTTGAATTGCTACAGCTGGTTCCAAGTACTTCAACATCAGTTGTTGTTGTTTTTTTAAAAAAAAGTCTTATAGCAGTTGAAACAGCGTTATTAAATCTAATAATCGATCAGTAGTTTTTTTTTGTAGTTTTTTATACAGTGCACCAAAAATACTGACCGAATTGTTTGAGATGGAATGCCGGTCCAGTCTCATCAGAATTGCGAAACTGGTTGTGGTATGAGTTGACTCAAAACCTGAATTTTCGCTGTGTAGTTTGGTTTTTCTTACCTACATTTCTGGGAGGTGACTAATTTTCCCCTTCAGAAGCAAGTAGTAAGTAACTGTAGACATCGTGTAACACGTATCAATAGCGAGACACGCAAAAGCGCGAGTCTCTTGTCCACCACGCACGGTGGGTGGCATACTTTCAGGCGGTTGTGGCGTTTTGGATGCGTAATGGTAAGTAAATCTTGCGGCACGGACAAATTGTACTGTGAAGGCCAAACGTGTGCTTACGTATCGTTTCGACTCAATAGATTTATGTGTCATGACCCACTATATTTGGTCATATTCGATTTCACACTAAAACACACTCAGCGTTATGTCGATCCAAAGTCAATATTTTCATGAAACTTGTCTCACCTTTAATTCAGACTCAAATTAGCTGCCGTTTTTGGTTCCTTTTTGAAGTGACCTTCCACAAAGAGCGACAGAAGTGCTGCGACTGTCCTTGAATGTGATACAACAATGGAAACTGTACGTGTGACCTTACATATTTTATCCACGCCGAGGAGTGGACTGAGGCACGTGAAACAGCTTGACCGAATGACTTGACTATTCAAGTGAGTGGATAAATGGCTGACTGAATTGCGGTCCATGCTTTATTCAGATCAGTGGTTTTGCTCAAGTTCTAATATATTCATCCATTTTATGTTCTTCCACTTTCTACGACTTTGTGGTGGACATGACATTCGACTTTGGACTGCGTAACTTTTGGGACACTCCGTGTAATGGTTTCCGCTCATCCATCTAGATCTCGTTCTTCCTGTGTTTCCTCTTTCCTGGTGGCAGACACAAACTGTTGTTTTCCATTTTTTGGGCTTGTACTAATCGTATATATTGTTTTTTATCATCCAGAAGAGAAGTTTGTGAACCGACTTTTTATCTAATTGTGTTCGGGGAGTTTGTATTTTCCTGATATTCTCCGGGAAGTATAATAATTTTGTTTCCTTCTCAAAATTCCACTTCCGAACTATAATATTTCTTTATTATTTTCTTTTAAATATTTTGTTTACTGTGCCATGTAATTTCTTATGAAATGAAGTTTAGTTTGATTGATCGTATAGAATAGTTCACTGATTTTATGTGGCACTATTTGTTGAAATATGTTCGTGATCATGAAGAGATGCCTGTTAGTTTCTTCCAGATCGTTGCACAGTGTTGAGTGGGAAGGAAGTACAGACGTAAAGAAAACAGGGAGGTGTAGGAAAAAATAAAAAGAATGACTAAAAGAAGGAAAAACATTTCCTCGCCTACGCTTAATCCCTGATCAACAAATTCTTTCAGGTCAAAGAAAGCGCCGAGTTTGGTTCACGACAAGAATGTACACGTGTGCAAGAGACGATCAACGTGAGACCTGGATGCTTTAATTTGCATTCGGCATTGAGAAGAGAAAATCGTTCAGAATTTTAAATACGTAATTAGCGTATATTATAATCTAGAAGTATATGATCCAGACCGGTCATGGAATGAGTGAGGAATAAGGTCGACACGTGTTCGGCTCTTCTTTTTAGGGGGGGGGGGGGGGGAAAAG